TGATAAAGTTTGGATACAAAGAAAAGAAATAGAAAAATCCAGATCAGCCAAATTTGAAGATAAAAGATTTGAACCATGCATTATACAAGAAAAGTTAAACAATAGTGCCTATAAACTACGAAATAATGTAGAACAAGTACTACAAAAATACTATAATAGTAATAGACTTGCAAAGTATTATGAAAAACAGATATGGGAACCAATTGTAGTAATTGAAAATCAGTAATTTCTGAAAAAAATTTAATTGGAAGGGGAGAAACAATACAAAATTTTGTAAAACAGACAATCATACTGTTAAAAAGATATATATAGACTCAGAAACAGACATTTTTCACCTGAAAATGAATTTACCTATTTCACAACCAGAAACCCTCATCGCTTTAAATAACTTTCTTCTAAAATGGAAACAAGATTCTGCCTCTCAATACAATTTGAATATTGCATCACATAATGTATTACTATAGGACCCCCTGGATGCTGCAAGAAACTTTGATTTAATGCTGCTTCTTGACCAATCAATAAAAGTAAATCTTAATGACTTTCTATTATCAGAAGAAATAGAAAATATTACCAATTCTATTCCAACCTTAGAATCAAAAATAGAGGACACTACCGATCTTAATTTGACTGTAGAATCAGAAATTGAAAACTTAGAAGACTCTATAACTATTCTTCTAATTAATATATCTCAAACCATTCAGCCAATGACTAAAAGCCTAACCAACCTGTTTATTGGTGGAACTTGGAAAACTCAAGTAGACAAGATGTTAACCCAACTCACTACTTATGGCCGAACTAAAAAAGACCTTAACCAAAAGATTCAGACATATTACTATCTCAGAAAACTTCTTGACCAATATGCAGACCCAGCTACGATCAAAGACTTTATCGAAAGAAAACAAGGCAAAAGAAAAGCTAAAGACACTTGGCGTGGTGACTATCGAACTTATGAACTTTTTAGAATCTGTCCAAAGGAAGTTATTTCTCAGTTACAGATACTAACAGCAACACAGCTCATCAAGCTAACCGATGGTAATTATCATCGACTCCTCGATGGTTGCAAATTGAAATTTGTGAAACAAATTTTATAAGGGGACAGAAATGTTATAGAATGATTATTTTATTTTATTTTATTATTAGTTATTTTTAGATATTATTTATTATTATTAT